GCTTGCTGCTCACAGCACCACCCATGAGCTAGCAGCTGGAGAAAGATGAGTGTAAAGACGGCTGAGGACTGGGGTGGGGAGGTGACTCCAGCCTTTTGTTGGAATGCATCCATAAATAAATTGAAAAGGACTGAAGGTAAAGGGAGAAAAGAGAAATGCATTAAAATGCTCAAAGAGCAGAATCACAAAACTTACACCTGTCAAGTCTGAGACGAAAGCCCCAAGTGATGCAGAGAGAACCCCACTGCAGGCTTCTTGTCAGTCCGGCCCCACTGCTGGGCTACCGTGGGATGAGCAATGCCACCCACAACGAATGACTTCCCCTGAGCCCAGTCTCTTCTCGGATGTCCGTCCTCCACATCTGCATCTCCCAGATCTAAAAAGTCTAATGGGCAGGCCACAGAGGAAGCGTCAAGACAGGCATAAAAGCGCTCCAGAGCAGTCTGAATTCCTAAGAGCAGAAGGCCAGGAAAGATGCAAATAATGTTTATGGAGCAGCAGGGGATCCTAGGAGGTGGCTCATATACACAACCCTGTGAGGTGGGTCAGTATCACCTCCATTTAATAAATGAGTCTCAGAGAAGCCAAACTTTGCGGAGGTCACGGCGCAAATAAATGTAGAAGCCAGCTGGGTATAAATCTTGGCCTGTCACCACCGTACCCTCCTGTCTCACGGGAAAACACTGTGAGAGGAGGTGACCTACCTGTTCTGCTAGACAAATGACGAGAAACATCAGTGCACAAAATACCCTGGGATGCCTCGAGAACACATTTTCCTGGAGACTGGAATTCACGTCAGGCTGACCTAGCTTGTTCTCTGCTTCCAAGCCAGACAGTGTGGGGTCATCCTCCACCCCCTTCCTTTTTTCAGACTCGCACTCTACAATCCCTATAAACCCACCCTTAATTCCAAGTACCGCACTGTCCCATAACATCATACAAACCCACGCCATCTTCTCTCTTCATTATTCTAGCTCAGGTTACCTCCGTCTCTAGCCTGGCCTGGCAGACACCAGTCTGGCCCCTACCTTAACGCATTTTCCACGCTGCAGCCAGACCACGCCAAAATTCTCTGCTTAAACACCTTCATTAGAAGGACATCTACCAAACACCTACAGCCAACATCACACTTAATGGTGAAAGACTGAGTATTTTAAGATTAAGAACAAGGTAAGGATGTCCACCCTCACCATTTCTATTCAATATTATATTGAATATTGAGTATAGTCAATATTCTATCTGCTGCAATTAAGCATAAATAAATAAATGGCATCAAGATTGAAACAGGGGCTTCCCTGGTGGCACAGTGGCTGAGAGTCCGCCTGCCGATGCAGGGGACACGGGTTCATGCCCCGGTCTGGGAAGATCCCACAGGCCGCAGAGCGGCTGGGCCCGTGAGCCATGGCCACTGAGCCTGTGCATCCAGAGCCTGTGCTCCGCAACGGGAGAGGCCGCAACAGTGAGAGGCCCGCATACCGCAAAAAAAAAAAAAAAGATTGAAAAAGAACAAAAACTTTTTTTATTCCCAGATATTTTTAAAAAACTATCAACTATTAATAAGAAGCTCAGCCAGGTCATGGGATACAAGAATCAATATACAAATATCAATTGTATTTCTACATATTAGCAGTGAATCATCCAAAAATAAAATATAATGAAAAATAATTCTATTCATGACAGCAAATCAAAAAAGAACAAAAAAAAAATCTTAAGAGAGATTTCCAGTTCAAGACGGAGAGCCAAGGCAACATGTTATACTCTCCTTCAACCTGACCTCCCAAGTTGTCATGGAAATAGTCTGAGGTATATAAAAAGAGAGACTATATATATCCATGTGGGAAACTAGGAAAAAGAGACAGACACCTACATGCTACAAACACTAAGGAATTTCTACAAAGATGCAGTGCTGGTGAGACCTGACTAAGAAAAAGGTTCACTAGACAGGATGCTGACAGAGAAATATAGCTTAAAATGTGTTCTCAAGAAGTAACTTTAACCACTAGCAGAATAAAAATCAGAGACGAGGTAAAGAACACTTGTGCTTAAAGATGGAGAAACGGAAATCATAGTAAGGAAGCTTAAAAACAGAACGTATTAAATATTATACAGGAACAAATACATCAGTTATCACCAAAAATTGTGAGTGAATTAAAGCTTTCTGTTAAAGAGTAAAAACTCTCATGAAATATTTAAAAACAAAACTCTAAAAGAGACATAGAAAACAATGACATAGAAACATTAAAAATAGAGAAATTAGCAAAGATGGGTGATAAACGCAAACCTAAAAGATAATAAAAGTGGTAAAACTAGTATCAAAGTAGAATTTAAGGCAAAAAAGGGGGATAAATATAACTTTTACATTGGAAGAATTATAATTCACTCTGAAGATCTGATGTTTACAAATACTGACATGCTGAAGAAATAACATCAACATATGTAAAGTAAAAACTTAGAAATAAAGGGAGAAAATGATAAAAATAATAGTGAAAACAATAAGTTGCTTATCCTTGACAAAAATCACTTAGACAATAAATAAGAAATGAGAAAAATTAAACAATACTAATAACATGAATTTGTTCACCCTTCCACCACAGAATACATGTTCTTTTCAAATACTCAGAACGTTCACCAAAAATGATCTCATACTGAGAAAAAAAGGCAACAACTTCCCCAAAATAGAAATCAGAATCTGAACATAATGCTGTACAACTAGATAATAACTTCTTACGTATAAAAAAATACTACTTGGAAATTTTGAGGGAAAAAACCCTAGAGTCAAGGAAGGAACAAAACTGCAGTTAGAATTATTTATTCTAAAAATAACGGCTATCATCAAAATGTATGCAATATGGTCAAGGCTGCACTTAGGGGAAAATGCCTCAATGATTTTAACATCCAACAAGAGGTAATGAAACTAATTCAGTTCATGAAAACAGCAAAAGAACACCACCCGCCCAAGGTAAGTGGGAGGGAAGAATGAATAAAGATAAAAGCAGAAGTCAACAAGTCAGGTAATAGGAAAGGGATAAAACTGATAGCCCTAGAGTTGGGACTCTTAAAAGACCAATAAAATAGGCAAGCTTCTGGCAAGACTAAGTAAGTAAAAAGAAAGAAAATGCAAATGCGCGGGAGCAGATACATGAAAGCGGACGTGATCCCAGATAGCGTGGAGGTAGAAATGCTGTATGGGAAAACTATATAATTCTGAAATGAACCAAAATGGGCACATCAGGCAGATGACGGGCACGAGAAGCCCGAGCAGGGATGACCTTGTGGAGGTGCAAAACCCAGGAGCCTTCTCCTCAAACACGGCTGGTTGGCCAGAGTGGGCTGTGCCCTGGCTGGGAATACATCCAGGGACCCCCTGCCAGGACCACCTCCTTAGGTCCCAGAACTCCCACCCTTCCCGGCCGGAGCCATCCCACCTCCGGGGGTCTTCCACACCGCACTCTCAGAACCAGAGAACTCAAATGGCAGAAGATAGAGCTTTGACCACACGTGCGTGGACCCTGCCTAAAGAGAAAAAAGAGCTGGAAGAACTTCAGGACGCAGAATAGGCCTCCAGTCATCTGCACCCCGACTAACCGCCCCACTGGCCTGATCTGACTTTCTGTCTTTCAACATCCCTCAAGGGTCTGCGCCGGTGCCCCACCGATGGGGTCACTGGAGCTCGACATCTGATGGTGGCCTCGTCCAGCCTCCTGGTTTTAAGCACTAACCAGTCCTAGTCTCCCAGCTTCACATCTCTAGCCCCGATGTCCTTGAACTCTAAACTCACATATTCAAGTCCAGGCCTGCCCCCTTCCCAATGAGCATGTCACGTCCCTGAAGACAGCAGCTTTGTTTTGCTCACTGCTGCGTCCCCAGCACCCAGGCCAGTGTCTGGAACATACTAGGTGCTCATGAAATATTTGTGGGATGAGTAAGTGAAGAGCACTCCAGTCCCTCCACCCAAGTTTCACTGAACACCTACTGTGTGCCAATCCCTGTGCAATGTCAAGGGCAGATGGACAAGCCTGGTCTTGTCTAAGAGGAACCACTAGTCAGGGGAGCCCCAGATGCCCATCCCAGCTGCAGACATGGCAGCTCACCTCTGCACTGCCCTGAGAGGGCAGGGAGCAAGCAACAAGAGGGCTGGCTCAGTCCTGGGAATGTTGTCTGTGACTCTGATCCAAGAGCATCTTAAACAAAGCCTTGAGGACCCCGGGGTCCCCAGGGCTTGGCTGGTAAGCCATGAACCCTTTGTCTCCCTGGGAGCTCAAAGCGTTATCTTGCAGGACCAGGACAAGTCTTGCAATGGAGGCACGGCAGGCCACCAGGTCAACAAAACCTGGACAGCTATGACCCTGGGGCCTTGATCTTTGCCCCCCCAAAGTCTGCTCTTCCTGCAGAGGTGGGAGCCTTCCTCCCTGTCTCCCTCCTTGATGTGAACTCTCCCCTTGGGAGGTAGCTCAGAAGCACGGGAAAGCAATCTTGTCCTCTCCATTGTTCCCTCTTCTATCGAGTGCGCTGCGGTTTAAAAAGTAGAAACTTCCCTAAATTCTCAATTCTGTACCCACAGCCAAAGCCACGCAAATGCAAGGCAAAATCCAACAAAGTATTGATGGTTTTCAAGTCGGGGATGTAAGACATAGTTGCTACTAGCCTTCAGTTCATATCTGCTGGGTCCAAGGGATATATTTCTGTGTGTGCAAAGAATATACACCAACAGGTGTGCACACATACACACATATGCATGCGAAATCAGTTGTAATAGAAAGACTTGAATTGCTCCGTGTGTTTTTTATCTAGTCTTCCCAATTGTCCTACAAAACCTCCTGTCTGCTGGGAACTTCTAAGCAGGAGAAAGGAATTGGGAAACGTAAAGAAAGCAGAGGAGTTCAGGGCAGACCTCATAAAAACAGAGGTCTTTCTTGATGACAATTCACCCTGCCTGGTTCTTCCTCTCAGCAAGCTTGGCTCAGGCCCAGCTGTTGGCCACGGGGAGGAGGGGGTGATACCTGGTTCGCAGGTTCTCTGGCTGGGGTGGCCCATCAAACACCGACAGGACGTCAAAGTCCTCCTCCAGGGCGAAGGACTGGAACACAAGCTGGATCCGATGCTGGTCCTCCACTGTGATGGTCCACGTGCAGTTGGCGTAATTGGGGTAGCCATACGGGAACCCTGGGCTCTCAACGGTGCCATTGGGACCCTGCAGTTGGAACGTGCAGTTCTGGCCTGGGAGAGAGAAAGGGGGCTGTTCAGTACGGCCAGAAGAACTCTGAGAATCTCCCAGAGAGATGGGAGCAGTGTGTTAGAGGCTCATGAACCCCCTCTTCCAAGTGTTTCCTCTGGACCAGCCCATGCTCAGTGCAGAGGGAAGGAAGGTGGGTGACTGATACACTGAGTGCCAGCTTGCTTGTGCCGTGAGCTGTCCAGATGATAAAATGGGCATCGTTGTACTCAAGCCTTAGAACAACGCTTGAGGTAGGAAACAATGCTCAGAGTTTGAACTAAAAGGCGAGCAGACCAGGTGGAACTTCCTCTTTACAACATTAAATGCCAGACTGATGATTTCAAATTTTCTCCATTTTCCACGGCCTCCTGACCCTCCAGCCTCCTCTTCTCAGCCCCAGCCCCCTCTTCCCATCTCCATAGAGAATAAATGCCATCAGTGGGGATTCCGTTGTCTTCCCAATTCCAAATCTGTCTAGCCTGCCCCACACGGTCTTCCTTCCTGTTGCAGATCAACTAGCCCTCCTGCAATCTAAACATATCCCTTCTATGTGCCCTTTGGATCCCATCCTTGCCTAATCTTCAAGAACCTTATATACGTTTCTCTCTTATATACGTTCCAAGTGTTCAATCATTTCCTCTCCACTGGAACTTTCCCATTTTAAATGTGTTCAAGACTCTCCTTAAAAAACCAACTCCCCATTCCACTTCTCTTCTCCCTCCAGCCTCGTCTCTCTTTTCCCCTTCTCAGCCAAAGTGTTAGAAAACACAACCTGTCTGTCCTTTCTGTCTCTATTTCCTTACCCCCAGCCCGTCAGTTCTGCCTCCTGGTCCTGTCAATCCACCCAAACAGGTCTAAGGTCACCGATGGGTCCAGTGGATACTGTTCAGTCCTCATTTTAACAGACCTCTCAGCTGCCTCTAACACTGTTGCCTCCCTTCTGGAATCACCCCTCCCAGGCCAGGGCATCTCAGACTACACTGCACATGAGCAGCACCTGGGGACCTGGCTGACCTTTAGATTCTGATGTACAGCACCTGGGAGGGGCCAGAGAGCCTGCTTGTTTACCTGGTGCCCTGCAGATGCAATGATGCTTTGAGCAGCCTGGTCCCCGGCTTCCTCCCATACCGCTCACGCTCCATCCTTCCTCCCATGGCTCTTTCTCTGGCTCCTCTCCAGGCTCAGTGTTGGGGCCTCTCCTCCTCTCCGTCTGGTCTAGAGGACCTCCCCTTGTGCACGGATGACTCACAACTTCACAGTCCAGGCCAGACCTCTCTCTGAGCTCCAGACCTGACACCTCCTTCGGGATGTTCAGGCTCGTGATGTCCTCCACCTACCCTTTCCTGACACCTTCCTCTCCTTCACAACCCCATGGACAACCGATCACCCTGTCTCTGTCTCTACTTCCCTTGACCCCACAGCATCTCTCCCCCAGACTGCCATAAAAACTACCTCCTAACTGGTCAACTGCGTTTACGCTGGTCCTTGCCAACACTACAGCTGGGGGTGTCTTTTCAAAACAGAAATCTGATCAGGTGACCTCCCCTTTCCTCCACCGACATCAAACCTCCCATAGCTCATCATTGCTCTTCAGTAAGGAAAAATCACTTGTAGACCTATGAGGGTCTCTGTATGGTTTGGCCCTTAGTGACCTCTTACCCTTGTGTCCACTAGCTTTCCAGCCAAACCCCACCCTTCTAAAGGACTTGAACAGACATTTTTCCAAAGAACATATATAAAAGGCCAACAGGTACATGAAAAGATGCTCAACATCGCTAGTCATTACGGAAATGCCAATTAAAAACACAATGAGATATAACCTCATGCCTGTTAGAATGGCCATCATCAAAAAGACAAGAGATAACAAATGCTGGCAGGGATGTAGAGAAAATGGAGCTCTTGTGCACTGCTGGTGGGATCGTAAATTGGTGCAGCCACCGCTGAAAACAGTATGGAGGCTCCTCAAAAAACTAAGAATAGAACTATCACATGATCCAGCCATTCCACTTCTGGGAATACACTCAAATGTAACAAGAACACTAACTCGAAAAGATATCTGCACCTCCACATTCATAGAAGCATTACTTACAATAAACAAGACATGGAAACAACCTAAGTGTGCATCGATAGATGAATGGATAAATTAGTTGTGAGATACATACACACACACACAAATATTATTCAGCCATAAAAAAAAAAAGGAAATCTTACCATTTGCAACACCACGAATGGACCTCGAAGGCATTATGCTAAGTGAAATAAGTCAGAGAAAAAAAGATAAATAACTGTATGATATCACTTATATGTGGAACCTGAACAAACAAACAAAAAAAACCAAAAAAAACAAACTCATAGAAAAACAGATCAGACTTGTAGTTATCAGAGGCGGGGGGTGGGGAAGGGGAATTGGAGGAAGGTGGTCAAAAGGTACAAAATTCCACTTGTAAAATAAATAAGTACTAGTGATGTAACACACAACATGACGACTATCGCTAACACTGCTGTGTGATATCCAGGTAAGTTGTTCGGAGACTAGCTCCTAAGAGTTCTCATCACAAAGAGAACATTGGTTCCTTTCTTCTTTTCTTTTTATTGTTTTTATATGAGATAATGGTTGTTAGCTGAGCCTATTGTGGTAATCATTTCACAATGTACATAAATCAAACCATCATGCTGTATGTCTTAAATTTACACGATGATATGTGTCACAGATGTATATCTGTCAGAAAAAAACACCCCGCCCTTCTCAGTCCTTTGTACTGGCCACACCCTCACTGCACAGCCACAGGGCCTTTGGGTGTGCTGTTCTCTCTTCCAGATGTCTAGTCAACTGTCTCTCCTTGACTAGTTCAAACCCCCTGTTATATGCTCTCATGATACATCACCTCTCCTTGGTAGCACTTATCACAGAAGCAAATGTCCATGCTTCCATGTGATTAATTCATGAGTATCTGTTTTCTTGCCAGGCTGTAAGCTCCATGAGAAGAAAGACCATACTTGAGTTTTCCCGTCTTTGAATCCATAGCCCAAGCTCAGTACCAGACACATGGTAAGTTCTCATTAATTTAATATAGTGCTTGTATTCAGTGAGTGTTTGGCTAGACACTCCTCTGAGAACTTCACATATATTAATTTGCTTAATCCTCACAACAGCCCTAGAAGGTGGATACTATTCGTATCACCTCCATTTTACAGATGAAGAACTAAGGCAAAGAGAAATTGAGGAAGGGGTCCAAGCCACCCCGTTACTCAGAGATGGGATTCAAAAGTAAGCAGTCCACTTCAGATCCACCTTAACTATGATGCTGATAAACTGACTCAACACTAATTTTTTTAAAGCCCACTTTAGGGATTAACTGACAAGGACAGTTAATCTCTAAAATGACTTTAATATTGAAAAATCTCTTTTAACAGAAAAGAGGGATAACACAAAGTATCCCATTTAAAGAGGAAAAAAAAGCTAAGGTCTTATGAATAAATGCTAAATGGGCATTTAATAAAATTAGACATGTAACCCTGATTAAAATAAGCATTTGGAAGTAGGAGAAAGAATATTTCCTTAGCATGATAGAGCATCCATTTTAAAACAATAACTTACATCCTACTTACGGTGAAATGCCTGATTAAGATCAGGAATGAGATAGAAATGCTACTATCACCTCTGAGATTTCATGCTTTATTGGAAGAGCTAATCCATGTGATGCAAGAAAAAGAAAGGAGAAAGGAGCAAGCAGAATTATGGCTTGCAAATGATATAGTAATATACCCAGAAAACCCAGGAGAATCAATTAGGATGCTATTAGAACTAATAAATTTCAGTAAAGTAGCCAAACACAAAATCAATGACATTTTCCATATGCAAGTGACAGATAAAAATATAAAGAAAAAAGGTCTTATTTATGATAACTACAAAATGCGTATAATAAGTGGAAAGAAACTTAATAAGAAACAGGCAGTCACTGTATAAAAATAACATTTAGAGAAGGATAAAATATTTGAGTAATTGGAGAGACATATGTAATCTTGAGTGGAAGACTAACTTCTGAAAGGTTAATTTGGAATATTAACCTTTTGAAAAGTTAATTTATAAGCTTAGTGCAATTCTGATCAAAAGCCCAATAACCTGTTTTAAATTTAGTAAAAGCGTGCCTAAGTTTAACTGGAAGAAATAGACAGTCGCAGACAATGGATATTTTTTGAAAAGGTAGAAACTGTAGTATTCTCATTCTACAAGATACTAAACAGAATCACCGAATGATGCTTTGAAAATAGTGTGGAGGTGGCCCAAGGGTGGACAGGCAGAACATGACACAGTATTACAGCAATAGCTTTAAACAGACGTAAAAATTAAAATATATATAAGCATTAAAAATCAGTGAGAAAAGAAAAACATTTTGCAAGGTCAACTAATTAACTGTGTGAGAAAAGAATTAAGTTATCTTGTCAATTCACACCATATACTAAACTAAGTTTTTTTAAAAAGTCAAAAAATAGAAGAACATATACACAAATAATTATCTGACTGTGATTTTCTGAATGTAAAAGCTGTGGGAGAGGGCTTCCCTGGTGGCGCAGTGGTTGAGAGTCCGCCTGCCGATGCGGGGGACACGGGTTCGTACCCCGGTCCGGGAAGATCCCACATGCCGCGGAGCGGCTGGGCCCGTGAGCCATGGCCGCTGAGCCTGCGCTTCCAGAGCCTGTGCTCCGCAACGGGAGAGGCCACAACAGTGAGAGGCCTGCGTACCGAAAAAAAAAAAAAAAAAGCTGTGGAAGATACTACAAGACTGATAGTTTATACAGAAAGTATGTGTAGGTCAAAAATAGAAACAAAATCAAAAGGCACACAAAATGGTTAGGTAGAAAAGTCTCAATAAAACAGTTAATACAGAAAGAGCTATTAGTAACCAGTAGGAAAACAACAAGCACTATAATTAAAAAGCTGGACAGGGTCTTGAATAAGTTAGTTCCTAAAGGAAGACATAAATGGCTCAGAACCCAGAAA